GCAGGGAGGTGGAGGCAAGAGAATTGCCTGAGCCCAGGGGTTCAAGACCAGCCTGGGCAACTTGGTGAGACCTCATCTCTACAATAAACCAAAAATTAGCTGGTGTGGTATCACATGCCTGTAGTTCCAGCTACTTTGAAGGCTAAGGCAAAAGGATCACCTGATCCCAGTAGGTCAAGGCTGAGGTGGCCGTGAACGTGCCACTGCACTCTAGCCTGGGTGACATGAGTGAGACTACAACTAAAAAATAAATAAATAAACTTTGTCATAGGAGTGTATGAGAAAACATAGTACATGTAGGGTTCCTTACTATTCATAGTTTCAGTCAACCACTGGGGATCTTAAGACACATGCCCCACAGATAAGGATGGACTGCTATAATTGTGACACATTGACAGGTCCTATGTTGTAGTTACTGCTTTTTTATTTTTTTATCTGTAGAATTTTTGCTGAGAGGGAGAAGAAGTCAAGAAAAATTCTATAAGCTTCAGGAAAATTATACTGTGTACATTGAAATAGTGTGTATTTTGCTTTTTGGGGTCAGAAACTCTTAATACAGAATTCAGTTTCTGGTCAGGCTGTAAGTCACTGATAATAGTGCAGATTTAGTAATCTGACCACCCAACTTTAAAATGAAAGTATATGTAGCTAGAAAAAAAATTCACTAAGGAGCTGTGGACCTAGACATCCTCGTAGGTCAACTTTTATTTCCTAAATCATTTTGCTTTATATTTGCTTGTTAGGTATTTAGCCAGTTTAACCAGTTGTGGAAAATAAATTTCTTGGACAAATATCAGTGAAATGTTATTTATGACAAATTTATGTTTAATTAGAAAATTAAGATAAGACTGTAGATTGAGAATGAGCTAGATAGAAATGATTTAGAAACATGGATATAGGCTGGACATGGTGGCTCAAGCCTGTAATCCCAGCACTTTGGGAGGCCAACTGTAGAGGATTGCCTTAGCTCAGGGGTTTGGGATCAGCCTGGGCAACTTGGTGAGACCTCATCTCTGCAATAAATACATTTTAGAAGATTAACTGGGCATGGTGGTGCACGCCTGTAGTTCCAACTACTTGGAAGGCTGAGGCGGACGGATCACCTGAACCCAGCAAGTTGATGCTGGGGTGGCCGTGAGTGAGCCACTGCATTCTACCCTGGGCAACAGAGTGAGACTTTGACTCCAAAAAAAAAAAAGAAAGAAAGAAACATGGATATAAATGGTAAGCTAGAGCCTTTCTCACTCCGTTTTATTATTTATGAGTGTAGTTAATTTAGTTGCCTGTGAATTGTCCATTGTGGTTTATGTGGCATATTTTTAGTACCAAATTGGCTTCCTTACCATTAGTTGAGCTTTTTACAGGGATTACAAGCTAGTTTTAATATCTACCCAGAACACAATTAGACAAAATCAGAAAATGATATATTTTCTTAAAATTTATGTGTTCCGTTATCTGCTGTTGGATTTTACATGCTAGTTTTTTTTCCTTAGTATACAGTACATCTTATAAGTGCAAAATAAAATTTTTTCCCCTGCTGCTATGTCTAAATGGAAATGACTATTAAATACTTTTATTTATTTTTCTAAAGTAGAGGAACAAGTGACCTTTGCTGTGCATTACTGACAGTCATATAATGCATGAATGGTACTACTATAATTTTAGAACTGTCCATAACAGCCATGGGCCTGTCTGGGAGAATGAAGACTTTTCACAGCTATACCAAGGTCATCCCAATAGTGGTGTACAGCATATACCGTATAGCTGTGATATTAAAGTTTTATAGGAAATGAATAGGGAAAAAAATGTCTAAAAGTAACCTCTTGGAGGAAGAGAGATGGTGATAATGAGAAAAGGCTGAGAAACATTGCCTTAAGGGATCTAGTAGGATTTTGGTCATTTTACTATCTCATTTTCTCTGACTTGGCAACAGCTATTTATAATATGTAGAACATAATTTTGTAGTGTGAAATCTTGGGAAGATGCCTTGCTTTTAGAATGATTGTAGTGATTTAGTTGGTAGAGAATACAAATTGATAAATCTTTTAACAAATCCTAAGCTGTTGCTTACTGGAATTTTTATGTAATGTGTAGCTTTATTATAACTAGCAAGCTACTATGAAAAGTTGATCAGATTGGGCAGGATTTGATATCTAAAATAATTAGAAGGATGATACTGATATTTCCTTGTTTTGAATGCCATTAAAATTAAAGGCAATAATGGAAAAGACCTTTCTCATAGTAGAACTCAGTACTGTTGAATATTTCTCTTTGGCAAAGTAGAAACCTTTGTTTTTAGTTTGTTCAGTAGGCTGCAGAGTTCACTTTATTTATGACCTATGGTATACATTTTGCATAGTTTCAGAATATGCATATTTTCACACTTCGTTGATGTGAGAACAAAGTTGTGTATGTTCTGTGTTTTTTTAATGTTGTGGATAGGTGTGATATGATGAAACTGAAAAAGAAAGATTGCTGATACTACAAAAGTATGTGCTTTGAGTTTGGTTTTTAGTAATGGCAGCAAGTGTATTCAGATTCATTAATATTTTTTCACTAAATCCAAATGTGTACCACTGGAGCTAGGCATACAGACTGTGGCCTTGGAACAGAGTGAAGCTTACTAAATTGTCCACATGGAGATCTCACCCCAGGACCATGGTCTTAATTATAAGCATCTTACTACAACCAGTTGGAAGCAGTCCAACTACCAGACAAAATGGCTGATCCTAAAGATTGGTAGAATCATATCAATATGGAAAATTGGTTGGTGTCAACATAGGAATTCATGGATGGACAAAAATAGTAAGTGATTGTGGTATACCAGGTTAGTGTAGCTGCAATTGTAAATTTTTGTCTACTTATGTAAACATTTTCATAGATGTACAACTAATAAAAAATCAAATAATGTATTAACCTATTTATATAAGTGAAAGTAGCATTTAAATACTTTTCTTTTAGTTCTGCTATTAATAACCCTTACGTTCTTTTTTACTCTCCCTCAGACCATGTATTATGACTATAGTCTCTGCTGAGGAAGATGGAAACAGCTCCCTTTGAATAATAATAATTCTACTTGATGTACAGAACTGGATTTCAAGAGTTTAATGTGCCCACTACCCCCTGTGGGGAGCTTTTTAGTATCTTAAATATATGGAGTCACTGCTGCAGCCACACCACCTGAAGCTTTCAGCTACTCTGAAACTTCATAGCAAAACTTGCCCTCCTTTTTTCTCATTTCTGCTGTTACCGCAATTTGAGCATGTTACGTTAACAAAAACTCATTTCTTAATGATTATTTTAGTATTGCTGTACAAACAAAATTATGTCACTATTCAGTGACTTGTGGTCTTAGTTTCTGCCATTGCTAAAGATGGCTTTGTTCTCCAATTTAACCTTGAGCTCATGGGCCTCTGATTAGACATTCTACCTCCTAAGAAGTAAAATTGGTATGTAAAGATTCTGTCATTAGTAAATTGGATAACTCATTAGTTACATAGAAGATTACCTGAAGATAGCTTTACAGATTTGAGGTCCTTTTATCTATGTGTATAAATGTTATTTTGTCTAGGCTTTTTTTTCTTCTTCTTTTTTCTTTTTAAAGAATTTTATTCTGACTTCTAAATAGCAAAAACATTATTTTCCCTTGGGGCCCATAATACTTTGTTGATCTCTTTACCATCATATAGCATATGTTTTCTCTGGGTCATTCTCTATCTGTGTAATAGTCCATGAGACTGTTAACTCTTCCTTCTGTGCCATTTGTATAGCAATTCTTTAATAAATTGTATTAATGGGAGAGTCTGTGTGTTATGTCTGAACTCTTGTAATTGTCTTTTTCTTTATCTCATATATTCTGCCTCAAAATAGTTCACACTGATGTAGGTACTGGTTGTGGAAAGGAAGAGGAAAGTAAAAATGGATCTTTTGCTCTGCTAGTCAACCTTGTGGCCCAGTAATGGGTTACCAAAGGCAATTAAACAGCGTTGAGTGTTTTGCTAATACACATTTCATTTTTCTTGTGCTTGTTTACAAATTGAACCCTCTTCAACTTTTCTCCTGCTCATGTATCAATTTCATGTTCCTCTTTCCTGCTTATTATCATTTAGGCATGTAAGTGACATCCACTAGCATTGCTTTAATTCTGCTGGTGACAGTGGCAAAGCTTTACTACTAGACCCTTATTCCTATCACTTTTCTCTTGCTAATTTATTTGATTTGTTAGATCTAAGTCGGATAAGCATTAACTCTTGGTTCACTGACAATAATGAAACTATTGCAAGATACTAATTTGTATAGTTTTACATGTATTTCATTTGTTATTTTTGTTTTCCATGTTCACTTATTATTGAGTACGAATTATTTACGTTTCTACATTTTTTTCTTCCCTTTCCTGTGACTCAGCTCACTATGCTTTTTTTCTAAAACTAGTAGCTTTCTCGGGGCTGGGAAACAACATCTGATTACTGTAGAAAATAATAGCTGTTGTGTGCGTGTGTGTACAAATATTAAAGACGTGATTACTTTGGTTTTTGTTGTGATATTTTTGTGTCAATTTTGTTTGAAACTTGTCTATTTTCATGTATTATCACTTTTGCTTAATAGTATATTACTTCCAAGGAAAATTTAATGTTATTTATTTTGTCTCTGTCATTCTTTCGAATGTTATTTCCTATACTATAATGTCAGTGGAAAAGTAGAATTTATTATATGGAGACTCACCTTATAAGCACTGTTCAAGAATATGGCTATTGCATAAAGTGGAAAAAAAACTTGTACTGAGATCTTTTATCAGTTTTTTTTAAAACAAGAAGTTGAGTGAATTTGTATTCAAATCTATTAAGTAATAGTCTGATTGTTGTATAATCTAGAGCATTATTTCTGTGTCTCAGGAAGCTGAATATGGTGGGCATGATCAAATAGATTTATATGATGATGTCATATCTCCATCTGCAAATAATGGAGATGCCCCAGAAGATCGAGATTACATGGATACTCTCCCACCAACTGTTGGTGATGATGTGGGTAAAGGAGCAGCACCAAATGTTGTTTATACATATACTGGAAAAAGAATAGCATTGTATATTGGAAATCTAACATGGGTAAGTAAACATATGAATTAAATTATTGGTTTTGAACTGCTCTAGTAGTTAATGGTTTTCTTTAGTTTTATAAAATACAAGTGACTGTGTTGGTTTTTCTATGTGTAAGGAGAGAAAGATCACCACATGTATACATGGTTTAAAAATAATGTTCCTTTCTAATTCATATTACAGATTTGATTTCCATTTCCGTTCTTAAATTTGAAATCTGATTTATAGAAACACTGCTATGTACATTGTATTTTAATTTGGGATGTTCATGACACAAGTTATAGATTGAGAGCTTTATTAACTGCATGTATGTATCTGTTCATATTTTTATTAGCATTAAATCTTAAATACTCACTAAAACAGTCCTGTATAAAATTTTTACATCTCTGCTTAGTTATTACATATACTTGAAATTTTAAAAATTGTGTATCTGAAAATTAGAATAAAACTTGTCACCTTTCTATTTCCTTAATAACATTTTACTTTTAAATGTTTTACTTACATTTCTTTTAAAAATAATTGTATGTGGTCTCCCATCACCCAGTCTGAGCAGTCTACAATTTTGGAGACAATAACAGACAATGAGACTATGGTTGCTAAGTAAAAATTTGAATATTAGCTCCACCACCTATTAGCTTTTTGTGACTTTTGGCTAGCTCTTTAACTTCTCTATTGCATCATGTGTCAAAAAATGGGAATAATAGTAGGACTTAAAAGGTTATGAGTGAAATAGTTGGCATAAAGTACATGATATTTGTTCAGTGCATGCTCTTTTTTTCTTCTCTACATTTTATAATCAAACATAAGATGAAATTTATTTCACAAAATATTTTCCTTTAATGGGAGGAAGCAGCATGTGAGTTTTTTTGTTTTTTTGTTTTTTTTGTACTGAAAATTTAAAATCAGTTTAAAGCAGGAAGGCTAGAAAATCTTTAGTAAAAACTTGTCCTATCTCCAGGGGCATATACCTTCTAATTTCTGAAATAATTATCAGGGAATGAAGTTAGGTTCTCACATGTTTTGGGGCTATTTAAAATTTGGAGGCAGACTGGGAGTACTGTACTTACAGATTTGCACTGAGTATTAATTTTATCTTGTTTATTTTGGATTTACCCTTCAAAGCTAAACTGAAATAATAAAAATCTTATGTTTTAATGGTTAATGAGGGAACAATATCTTGCAGTGGACAACAGATGAAGACTTAACTGAAGCAGTTCATTCTTTGGGAGTAAATGATATTTTGGAGATAAAATTTTTTGAAAATCGGGCAAATGGTCAGTCAAAGGGGTAAGAATTTTTGCTTTTTTTCATGGTAGCTAGTGATTACAATTTGCAAGTTAACTTTTTTAAAGTTAATGTTAATTATACATATGTGTAGGACACATGATTATACTGGAAGGAGGTTCCTGGGCAGAGAGTCTTACTTTCATTTTACATATCCTGTTACCTAGTGCACTAAAACTAGTAGAGTTGGAGATGTGGACAGATTAAGTCCATTTTCTGAGTTTTTTCCATCTATGATTGAAATGTTTATTGAAATAACAATTTTAAAGAAGCTTATTCTCTGAGAGTAAGAGATAGGCGAAAATAAGCAACTAGAGAATAAAACTAGTAGAGTTGGAGATGTGGACAGATTAAGTCCATTTTCTGAGTTTTTTCCATCTATGATTGAAATGTTTATTGAAACAACAATTTTAAAGAAGCATTATTCTCTGAGAGTAAGAGATAGGCGAAAATAAGCAACTAGAGAATAATCAGTTACATGAATATTTAGCTTTATTTAACTACTAAACTACACAAGTAAGATAGGATCATTATAGGAACAATATAAAATACAGTATCGAAAAGTCAAAAAATGCCAGTCTTACTGTCCACAGATGATCACTTTTAACGTTATAGAGAATATACTGTTAGATTTGTCCTTTAAGGGGGGGGTTGCAATTCACATGTCTTGTAATATGTTGGCTACAAGGAGTAGAAAACATATTTATCAATAAATACACATCATCCCTAATGTCTAATTTCTTTCCGTCATACCTTGTATGCTACTGCAATTTATTTTACCTTTCTTATTTTTGGTTATTTTGGTTGATTGCGCTTTTGCCTATTATAAGTATTGTTATAGCAGGTATTATTTAATAGAAATCTCTAGGTGCAGATTTTGGATTTTTTTTTAAGGATAAATGACTAGATGTAGAATGATAAAAGAATATGGATATTTTATATTCTTTACAAAGGTTGTGCCAGTTTATACTAAACTATTTCCAAGATATATGAAGAATTTGAACACTTCTCACAAACTTCACTTCTACCATCTGTTCAAAGCCACAGTCATCTCTTACTTGAACTTTGATAATAGCTTCCTAACTGGTATCCCTACCTTTGCAACCCCTACAGTCTATACGCCACTTAGAAGTTTTTTTAAAAAGTGGCATCAATGCTTTCTGCTCAGAATCCTCTCATGACTTCATGTCTCACTCAGGGTCATTACCATTGTCTACAAGGTACTCTGTGATCTGATGGTCCACCACATCTTTGACTCTGCCCTCTGTCACTCTTCCTTAGCCATATTAGTTTCTTTGCTGTTTCTCAAATTCTTCCTATTTGGAACCTGTTAGTCCTTCTTGGTTTACCTTTTCTCCTCAAATATCCACATAGCTCACTCTTTTACTTCTTCCAGGACTTGTACTATTTGGAGTTTCCTTCCATGGCCATCTTATGCAAATTAGCATCTTCTTGTCCTGTCTCTGTTTCCTTTTTTTTCTTTGTTATATTTTACTTGTTTATTGTCTCCTCCCACTAGACTTTAAGCTTCATGAGAACAGGGATGTTTTGTTCACTGTTATATCCCCAGCCATAGATTGGTTTTTGGCATATAGGAAATGGTGCTCAATTTATATTTATTAAATGGATTAAGTTGTTTATAAATGTTGTGACCCAAGATAGTCCTGGATCAAACAGCAGAATTTGCTGACTAGAAGAAGAGATATAGTTAAAAAACCACGTTGAACACTGTGGGAAAAAACTTAAGCTACTAAAATTCTCCACCCCCAGAATGATTTAGAATATCTTATAACTGTACAAATTGATAATCTTCCAGTTTACTTTAAATTTTTCTTATTGAGATTTTCATACCATGAAATTCACCTCCTTAAAGTGAATTTAGTATATTGCTACTGTATAATTCCGGAGTATTTTATGACCCCAAAAAGAAACTGCGTACCCACTTAACAGTTACTATCCCCTCTCTTCCCATGGCAACCACTAATGCTTTTTGTCTCTGGATTTGCCTGTTGTAGACATTTCATCTAAACGGAATCATAAAATACATAGTCCTGTGTAACTGGCTCTTGGCATTTAGCATAATGTTTTTAAAGGTCCATTCAGCCAGGCTTGGTGGCTCAGCCTGTAATCCCAGTACTTTGGGAGACTGAGGTGAGAGGATTGCCTGAGCCTGCAGGTTCGAAACCCGCCTGGGCAACTTGGCGAGACCTCATCTCTACAATAAATAAAAAAATTAGC